GACCAGTACACCGATTTCAATAGTTTCGTTAGCATCCAACAGAAACGAAACTTAGTCAAATGCTTGGCCACCAGGGCGAGGGCAATTTGCTCTACGGAGCTGTTGGATGATGAGCTGACGCTCATTAGAAACACCCTGCGTGAGAATGGATACCCAGATTATTTTATCGAAAGAAATCTGATTGAACAAATGCCGAAAACTCCCATGCAAGCTGTGAGAAAGAAAGATTTGTTCATCAATTTGCCATTCAAAGGCGATACCGTGAGCGGAATCCTACTTCGACGACTGAACAGGGACATTGGCAACGCCTTCAACGCTGCTAAGTTACGGTGCGTGTTTCTTGGCGCTCCAATGATCCACATTCAAAATAAGGATAAACTGTCGATGCTGACCTCATCAATGGTTGAATACTCTTATGTTGGTTGAACGGCACGACAGCTATCTACCCGGATCAAAGAGCATCACCCACGCTGGTTAACACTAGGACAGACCAGAACAACAAACTTGTTTGTGTTGATTCATCTACAGCCTAATACTATTTGGTAAGAAAACATTCTCAAATCCCCGCAGGGCTGTCAACCACGCGGTCGGAATATCAAACGCATAGAAAAGGGTGTGCGCACACGTCATCACAAAAGAACGACTGCTGACAACCTGTGTGGGTTTTCGTATGACAGCCAAACGCGATTACACAGCAAGAATGTGACATGTGTAAGCATTGCTCCGTACAAACGTTGAGTACATCAACAAACTTACCTGTTCGTAAGCGTTGTACTTGTAAGGGTCCATTTCAAAAATGCTGTAGGTTGTCGAGGATAAATTGTCACGAAGCGGTTGCAAGGGTTCCTGATGTCGAGCCGCATACCGAGAAAAGATAGCAGATGAGCGAGAATTAGTCCCATTGCTTTTATTCGCATACTCGCTGAAATACGTGTATGACTACGACGGGGATTGAACTCAGAATATGGTGTTTTGAAAGGAATAAATAAAAAAATCAGCAGAGTGACGAACAAGCTCGTTTTCAGATATTCGTATTCATGCCAATACATCTCAATATATATCCCTACTAGTTTCTAGAAATTTGTGATTTTATTTCATTTTCGCAAGATAATTTTATTCCCAAGTAATAATATATGGAGAGGTATTAGTATGAATAGGAAGAACTGAAAACGAGCTTGTTTGCCACTTAGTTGTTTTGTCTAAAATACGCTCTATGGGACTATTTTGACGAATAAGAAAACAAACCGGATCTGAGGTGATCTATAGATCCTCCTATATATCTTGAGTTTAACTATTTTCATTTCAACCTCGTTTTTATTGAATACATGATACGATTTTCAGGAAGAGGAAAGCGGCCGATCAAAAGGCGGCCATACAACACAATGGGGAAAGTCAGGCGGTGGTAGTGAGGTTCGAACACGTCCTCTGGGGTAATACTTTAGTGACGTTACTACCGAGCCACCAATGCTCCAATCTCCTAGGATTTGCTTATTGGCGAGTCTCCTTGTGAAACGATGATTTTGTGTGCGCAGCACGTCAAAAAATAGACCGACGCACTCCAATCAATGACAGAAACACACTAAACTAAATATGTATTTAGAGTAAGGTCAAGTGCTTGGACCATCTTGTGTATGCATCATGAAAAACTTTATATTTACATTAGAGTAGTGAGGGACTTGAATTGATTATATGGTGAATTTCGTCCTGTAGAGAGCAAATAAACCGTGAATTGAAAAGCTAGGAAGCACTGGACAGCTGCTTCCACCTGGTTGGGAATCATCAGCAGTACGAATCCACCGACTCAAATGAGACTCGAACCGAGGATCTCACAGCATACTATCAACTTGACCACCTGGTAGCTAGTCAGACCGTTTTACATTTTGGATACACATTATATGGCGAAATCCATTTCGCGAGTTTGATGTAGGCATCAAAACAAAAATAACAACAACAAGGAGAATCAGTGTTTTAACTTGAAACCAACGGTAAGCGGTTGATAAAAAACGTCGCTTGTATTTATTTTACAGGTGAAATTCATACATACTTGTCTCAGAACACATTGAGCAATGTGAAAATATAGTGAGCACATTTTGAACCTCATCCCATCTATACGAAATTCCGTAGAAACATCCTCCAGTTTTCGTAAATGAATAGCAGAAATTGGTTCGGGGTTTGTAGAACTAATAATAGCCACCGGGATACGTTCTTCTAGTAAATGATGAATTTCATCTTGGTTTGGATCAACAAAATTACCTTGAGCTACTAGTCCACTAAGGAGCAAAACGGCACACCAGCAGGTCCGGTTTGGGCAGTATCACATTCCTGTATAAATTTACCTGCGATTTGCTGTCTGACCTCCGGTTCTCCAAATTGGATGAATGAATCAATGTTGTAGTGACCAAATTACAAATACCGCTAGGAATTTTCTGCCTCCACCAGCCTGATTCCTTCGTATCAGTCACCGTTACTTAGTCGCACGCCTAATGAGCACAAATGTACATCTGCATGTGTTTAGGGGCGTGTGCGTGTGCGTGCGTTTTAGGTTGTGCTGTGTGTATATTTGCCTAAGTACACGGTACATGTTTGCACAATAAGAGGCCCACATATTCGAGTAACCGGGCCATCTCTGTCTGACGTGTGTGTGTGTGTGTGCATCTATCTCAGTGATACACGCGCACGCACGCACGCGTGCATCGAGGAGATCAGGGCATAGATGTGTGTGTACACGGTGAAATTCACCATATAACGACAAGTTTGTTTCAATTTGATGCAAACATTTGTGGATCGAGGATACGGAAAAATGACGAAAAATCTGACTCACCCACCTGTAGTTGATCTTCTAAACCTTTGGATTGCAATTCGTACACATCTGGACTGCTCTGATTTTTCCACAACCACGTCACATATTGCTGATATGCCACGTAACCGCGATCATGGCGACACGCACCGGTGATAAGCACTTGAACGTTCAACTAATGATGGAATAGAATGAGAAAATGATGCTGGTTATGTTTGTTTTGAAATTCCAGCGCGAGAACGAATAACTGGAGCGGTTTTCATTCGTGTGGGCTGTTGAACTACTCTGAAGCGATCTGAATGAGTTGAACAGCCACCAAGGAGTAACTACTTTGGAATACACTAGGCCTTCACACCAAGGTGGTTATGCTTCGGTTACCCTTATTCTAGTTCACCTGTCGGGTGTTTTGCCGGGATGTATGCGACGATTAATGTCTACAACGGCACATATGCATACACCTACGAAGACTTACGCTGCTACAGACTGTTCTTTGACAAACAATATTGTCGTGGTTATGTTGTGAGGAAATCGGCAACCATGATCCTGAAACTTGGAGTAGCGAACCACATAAGGCTTCAATAGATCAGGCAGGGTAGCGGGCCGGGTGACGGCAGAGCCGCCTACCACCTTAAAAGCAGAGTTACGAAAACCGGATGTTTGCTAATGGTACTTGTCATTTCATTTTCATCTTACTTCCTTTTAATGCGCATACAGAGATACAATTCTCAGGAAGGGAGAAGTGGCCAATTAAAGGGCTGTCATACAACACATATGATGGGGAAAGACAGGCGATGGTGGTGGGATTCGAACACACGTCCTCCGAGGTGATAATTGGTGACTTTATCACCGGACCACCACAACCCAGGCGTGAGATTTGGATGGGTTAACAACATGAAGTCCCAATAGGGCAGGTGCGATGGTATCAAGCCGGACGACAGAGCAGCTATCTTAGAAAAGCAAGGATCCGGTAATGCCGGTCATGGCAGATTAACCAATGAGCCAGGGTATTGTCGCTAGCTTATATTATCGGAAACGTACACGGGTACATTGATCTAGGCTTGGATTGCCGGTTTGCTTTACCGAACAGTATGTTGTCATGACTACGGAGCTCACCCGTTTCTACTGCTCATCGCCCTATAGTGCGTAACCAAAGTCTCCTTCGATGAGGAGTATGTATACCACTACGACGGTGTTGTGCTTGGCAAAAAAGCTGTGTATTTCACTCATTAAGAATATGACGATCTGAATACAACATCAGATTCATTATGTGCGTGTCGAATTGTGCGCAGTGCTTCATACATTGCTGTTTAGCGAAATGCATGCTAGGTTTGAAGCAATCATGAAAATTAATTTTTGTCACTTTATTTTTGTGGGATACGGTAGTTTTATTCTGCGCAAAACTGAAAGGTCTATCATATTCCTTTTTGTTTTCTTCTTTGAAATACTATATTCAAAACTGGTTTTATTCCTAAGCCCGCTTTTCTTCACTAAGTAGAGGGAGTAACAACTTGCGAAGTGGAAAAAATGCTTTGTGGTAAAACTTTGTTGTCATTGTATCCACATTTTTTTAAAACAACCAATGAAACAAACCCGGAGCTGTACCTTGAAAAACCGGCGGATAACTTCTTGATGTGATTTGGACAGGACTGGGAAACCTTTGGAGTTAGTCAGAAACACATCTGTGCGCAGTAGAAGACAACAAACTGGTTCACTGAGCCATCGGGCAACCACTGACTCGTCCGGTAAATTGTTCGGAATCTCAAGCACCACACCCAGTGCATCTGTGATGTCTGAAGCAAGACTTGACAATTGCATCCACCAATGCCATGGAGAATCCACGTGTTTGTAGCCAAATTCGGCAGGCGGCTGATCCTCAGAATCTGGTGAAATAAAAACGTGAAACGTTGTAACCAATCAGTGAAAAAGTCATCCTGTCTATCACATTCGAATCAGGACTGTTTATAAACAGGACCTCATACAAAGTACTCGGTAGTCTCCAATAGCTGCTTTGTTAACCACTGTCTTTTTTGTTTTCAAACAAGAAACATGAAAAAATACCGAATATATTAAAAATCGAAACAAATCAAGACACAATAGTATAGTGAAATAGGAGAAAATGAGCCAGCAAATTAGCAAAGAAAGAAAGTGAACAGGGGGAACTAACAAGGATAAGAAATGTGCGTGCCTCGGAAAAAACGTGAAAGAATATGGCCACCATCGAGAGCATTAAGTTTGGCTGTACACACACACACACACCTTCAATCAATCTGGTCTAATAAGAAAGGATAATGAAGGAGCTATTGCTAACCAGAAGTAATAGTCATGAGTGACTTGTTTGATCACGATTACAGATATTTTGTTGTTCAGTTGAAATTTTGCTAATTAAAAGACTCCGCGTACATTCAACAATACGTTCCTTTGTTGATTTATTCGGAGTTCTTGTTTCTTCAGAGTTCTGTGCGGGACTTCAACTGTTCCAATTATATTCGTTTTCTTCCTAGTTCTGTCGCCTCCGAAAGCCACAGTATGGTCGAGAGTGGGTGTCTTGAATTGTGGCTGGTCGTCATTCCGTTCCAAAACGCTCCAATATGATTAAGCGTCTCAAATAGCCTCTGATGAGAAAGCCATACTTAGTGCCTTCCCGTGGCGGAGATGCTTGTCCAAAAAATGTGAGAACGAAAAGCCAACATCCGGGGATATAACCGGGTTGGTGAGCCACTGGCAGTTCACCTAGGGGAATTGGCTGAAAACCCAAACCAAACAAGAAGAGACCTACAAACAACACCCATCCACACCTTAGTTGTGGTATTGGTTACCGGCTCAATTGGGTATCGAGATTTATTGGACACGTTGGACGTTTGACTACGTCCACAGCGCGTATGATTCGATGAACTGGGCATCGACACCCGATGGATTGTGGTTTTCACACAGCGATTCGCTGCCTTGTGAGTTAGGCTTTGGCTAGCCGAAGGCTCTGGTTATGAATTTCCCAAGAAAGTTCACCTGCATTGTCCGAGCAACGTAAAAGCATTGCGCTCATAAACAAGTTACGAAAATTTTTCTTTTTTGGAAGATTATTGCCGTGATTTGTTGGGTACGCAATCTGGACTCATGCGTGATAATGACTTGTACACCTCGATGACCCAACGACCTACGCAGGATGGCTTTTATCAAACCAGGGGGCCATCAACGTAAGGACTTTGATGCAGGCAGGTCAACAAGTTTGTCTGGCTCGTACAATGGAACCTTAGGAATTGATATTTGCTGCGTAGCGGAAACTCGAATCCAGGATCCTACTAAAATAAGCCACTTGAGTGCGCTAGAGTTGTCTTTGAGATACGTTCTTCGAACATCAGGCGACAATGAAGCTCGTTCAACAGGCCAGCGTGGGGCAGGTATTGTACTCAGTAACAGGGTGAAATCCTGCCTTATCGAATGAAATTGGTGGGCAACAATAGCTGGCGAAATGGAAGTAGCACTTGCATTAGGGAACAGTCAAAGATTGTTCCGAGTGACACGTAATACAGAAGGTCAGCGAACTGAGCTTAGTGAAACAATCCGTCATCACCATCAAGATCATCGTCTTACAGCGAAATACAGTGAAGCGAACTTCACCGATCGCTGCCAAACTCGCAATGCATACAAGGTTAGTGGTGAAATTAAAGGGGGACAGGGGTTGGATCTATTTTGAGGGAGGGAGAAAAAGATGAGCCACTATGGTCAACACAGAGAGTACGATCGAACTCTGCATACATACCGTTTCAAGCATTCTGACCTGATAAGAANATATCGTTTCAAGCATTCTGATCCGATAAGAAACGACAACAAGAACGCCACTGCTGCCGGTTCGCTGTCATATCCTTCAATGTCTGCAACCAACCAGTTGTGGAGTCTTTCGGACCCCAACCTGGAAGGCGCGAGACACCTACTCTGCCTAGTGGCTTTGTGCAATTCTTCAGGCCTCGCCTCCACGTCATCTGTTGACCTCCATGCGGTTTCCTCTAGCCCGGATTAGCTACAGCGAATAAAGCGCGGTGCGGCAGACGCTGACTGGATACAGGCAAAACGTACCCTAACCAGTGAAGTCTACTAATCTGAATTCGGTGTAATAGCAGGTTTATCCCTGATAGACTACCAAACACATGGCGACTTACCTCCACGTTACTAACCCGTTCGCTCCATCCCACATGGGCTAAACTACGTAACCATCTATAATCGAAAACCACTAGCTGACGGATATCTCATACTCGCAAATTCAAGGTCTCACAACCATCAAGCAGAACTGAACGAACGATGGTACAATATACACGACTTTTCAATTTCAGTGAAACGTCGCGTCTACGCCAAAGGTGCATATGATGCTTGAGCCTTGGAAATGCCGGAGGTTATCTCTTTTGCTGCTCTACCGTCATTGGTCACGCAACTACCTAAATAGGAAAAAAATCCATCATAACTAAATCCTAACCATTTAGTTTCAGAGCGGGAGTGGATGAAACCCAGTCCTGCAGCATCAATTTGCACTTTGAAGGTGCAAAGCACATACCGAATGTGCCTACCGCACTTGTTAATCTATCAAGTGCACTTTGCGCATCCTCCATACATTCGAACAGATAGACGTCATTGATGGCACAGCTTTTCTCCACCTGTCCATTCAATACCTGCGTTTTGGAGTCTTCTTAGTGCGTTCTCCAGTATTTCGTCTACGATGAAATTGAACAACAACGGCGAAAGAGAGCACCCTTGACGAACACCGCTTCTGGTGACGAACGGCCTGCTTGGTTCGTTGTAGACCCTTACACGACCGGAGGTATGTGAGTACAGAAACCTCAGTAGGTTAACTTACTTCTGGGGCATTCTTTTCAGAGAGGGGAGCTCATGAGAGCTCCGCGATCAACTGAGTCGAAGACTCCTTTAGGTCAAGGAACACTGCGATCGTTGGTCGGCGGTGAGTGTGACGCAGCTCAAGGATCTGACGCAACGTAAAAATGTGATCAATACATCCACGGCCAGGCCGGAATCTGGCTTGCTGACCACGGATGTTGGTCTCTCTTAAAGGCGTCAGACGTCAAAGTATAACCGAAGCTAGCACGTTGGTGACGATCGGGATCAAACTGATCCCGCGGTGGTTTTCGCAATCTTTGCGGGACCCTTTCTTGAAAATGGGAACGATCAGTGATTCGCCCCAAAATGAAGGAATGCACTCTTGCGTCCAAAGGTTGCGTAGTATGGTAGTAATAGAGGTTACGAGGATATCACCTCCCATCTTGAAAAGAGTGGGAGAGAGCTCATCCGGTCCTGATGCCTTTCCTCGCTTCACAGCTTGAATGCAAGACCAAGCTTCTGCTTCCGATGGAGGATCGCATGATTCTGCCCAAGAAGCTTCAATTGGGAAAACGCAGCCTGGTTAACACTGGGCCAGCTAAATTGTTTGCTGAAGTATTCTGCCCAGCGATCGAGTCGTTGATCCCTACTGTGAATAGCTCGTCCCCTCTTATCGCATCTTGTTTCACTAACTGTGGTTCGCCGACCTCCCGTATTGCGTATCACCCGGAACAGCCTTTGACTATTCCCTGATGCAGCTGCTACTTCCATTTCACTAGCTATTGTTGCCCACCAGTTCTCACGGTCCTTCTTGAGGCTCTTCGTGAGTTGACGTTTTAGATGCCACCTAACTCTATTTTGATCCTGGCAGGTCGGGACTTGTCGTTTTTTCTCCACCAGGGCTACTGACTCCTGAGATATCCAATGCCCCCGGTGGATTTGAGCCTCAGACCTACAAGCAACATTCGCTGCGGAATGCATTGCTCGCATAATCTGATCCCACTGCTCGTCTACATCATCACGGTGAGGCGCAATTAGNTATTGCATGAACTGCTGGAACAGATAGTCGATGATGAGTTATATGAGTTTGCTGGTTTTATCGCGGACCAGTCAGTCGGAGAGTGACCTACATCAACGCAGGTGGTCCAATAGTATCTGCAATTTTTTACTGAACTACGCCAACGGTAACTTACTTACTTACTTATGTGGTCGATTTGAGTTAGCGTATCAGTTGAACTGGAGCTCCACGTTGCCGTCTGTCGAGAGCTGTGTCTGAAGTTGGTGCTTGATAGGAACAGATGATGGTCTGCGCAGAACTGCAGAAGTCGATCACCGTTGTCTATTCGCTGAGTGGGAGGGGGCGAAGTGCCCTCCTAGAAGGAAGTGTACACACCGTCGTATGCTTCCAGGGAATTTTGTCCAGTCATTCACAAACTAATTATTATGAAATACTCTACCAAGACCATCAGGTAACGTTTCTTGCTGTCAGTAGCATCTTCATTGGGCTGGCTCTGAAAGAGCTCTCTATCCAATGGTTACCCGGTGTTGCAAACAAACTTATTGTGACATCGCCTTGAGCGCAAGCATGGTGCCAATGTAAAGCAATGATAATGAATTTATGGCGGAGTACAAAAAGATTAGATTAAAATGGGGAAAACAGAGGACACGAAGAACGAATATATCAATGAAGAATTTTTTTGTAGTTTCACCGTACACCTGGGTAAAGACACTGAAGGATATGGTGACTAACCGACAGCCGTGGCGTTCTTGTTGTCATTTCTTAACAAGT